GTTCCGAGATCCACTCTTTCAACTCGGGGATCCGGGGGTCTCAGAGCTTTTCGTGGCCCCGCGGGGTTCAGAGCTTTTAACGTAGGGGCTGATTGCTTTCAGGGCTCAGGAGTGCTGCGCCTTCATCCCTAAGAACGCCAAGCCGCGAAGCCGTAAAGCCTACCCAAGCCGGGCACCCGAGGCACCTCGCAGGCAGGGGTCTGGCGAACTGTGCCGGGCGCCCGGGCCGTGCCAAAAACAAAACCCAAGCCGCAAGCGCTTCAGGTTTCAAAGCTTTAAGCAGGCTGGATCATGCGTGGGCACCTTTGCGAGTTGGGAGTATGCAGAAAAATCATGAAGAGCTCCGCCACATTTGATTTGAGGGGCCCTTGCAGGTCCACATGGTGATTCAAGCCGGTGCCCTTTTGAACATCCAGGAGCCTGCCGCTGCAGAGGTTCTTCCTTTGCTTCAAGGTTTCGTTCCTGAGCATGTTTAGGGTTAGGCTTCGGGAAGGCCCTTGCCGAAAATGATACACTATTTGGCTGGCCAGTCCTTTTGTGCATCGTTTCCTTGCTAGTTGGGGCGTTGAAGAAAGATCACGAGCGCATGTCCTCTCTTTTGCAATCAGAGGATCAGAGGCTAATCTTGCACTCAAAACCTCGTCAGGCCGCAGGGCCCTCCGGACCCGACCCCTGAAACTCTGTTCATCCTGAGCTGTACCCATGATTTCAAGTCCTGCCCAACAGAGCTGCGAGCTGCGCAGGACCCAAGACAGCCTGTCGGTAGGTGCCGAGGGTGATGCGGGGGTTCAATTCAACGGAGCATTTGCATGAATATTGCTCGGTCGCTCTGGCTGCTTCGGCCCTAAACTGGCGCTCGGGTTTGTCGAGGGCCTCAAGCTTCGCGGGCGCTCCAATTGTGGTTCCTCCTTCTGCAGGGTTGTGAAGTCTGGCCACCGCTGGTCGACGAACTCGCCCCAGGTCCAAACCCCCTTGAGGTCTAGGAAGAGAGGGTTTAAGTCTAAGTGAAGGCGCTGGGCTTCAGGCTTCAGGCCGAGGACTTCGTGGCTCAGAACTGAACAAAGCATAAGACTTCAAGCCCGAACCGCCCAAAGTCACCCTGGATCCTCAACCCGAGCTCCGTCAACCCTGGACTCTGTGTTCTTCTGCAGTCGTCACGCTCCAACTCTTAAAAAACCTCCCCGCTCCTTACCTCCTCCCTGTCTCGTGACGTTGTGAGACCTCCCTCTTTCTTTCATGTCACCTCTGCCTCCAGGCAAACGCCCCTGCAGCTCGCCGCCAGCCGAGGGCATGTGCCCCTTGGGGTTTCGGGGGGCTGGTTGAGGGGAATGTGAGTTCGGGATGTACATCCCGTGTCCACCGCACGGAGCTTGAACGTGCAAGTCGGCCCCCCCCTCAAAGCACCTAGGGCACCCTCACGGAATCCTCAAGACCCTAAGCCCTTACGCCCTAACTCCATCCCCTTTTGTAACGAGCTTATCCTTGCAATACACTTTGGACTTGGAGCACGTGCCCTGCCATTCCCCATTAGCACTCTGAGCCAAAGCTGGGAACTGCGCGAGCATGGGGCTCAGGGTCAGGAAGGGGCAACCAAACTTTACAGACGGGAGCAGGGTGTCAGGGATTTGGGCTTTTTGGGCCCCAGCAGCCTTCCAGGTGAATGCCGTCAAGTTCCTGGTCGAGGCGGGTGCCGACAAGGCTGGGATTTTGAGTGGCAGAGGGTTCGCGTTTAGGGCTTGGGGTGCAGGGTTGTTTCACGCCCAAGGCCTCAAGACTTTGCGCCTGGATCAGGCTTCGGCTTGCAAGGTTGAGGTTCCAAGGTTTCATGTTCGAGGCGGGTTCTAGACTGGAGCAGGTTGCTCCATTGGTCAATGGCTTGTCCAGATGCAAACACTCGAAAGCCGCCGAGTGAGCTGATGTCCCTGCACCACAGGTTTTTCGCCCCCCATCAGGCAAGTTGAGGCTTAGGTTTTGGGTCATCGAGTCATCGTGAGCTCTCATCCGGCTTTGTGCTTTCGTCTCTTCTGCGTCCAAGCCCTGAACTCGGACCTGCAATCGAGTTCCTAAGTCGAGTCCCTGAGTCCTCCCACCGAAGCTCTTTGGAAGACAGGCGGGAGCGGTCGAGGCGGCTCAGGATCTGTCCAAGCTCGGCGCTGTCTTCGTCGAGGCCGCATCGGCCAAGAGCGGGATGGCCGAGGGGTGGGCTTCTGGGGCTTCGTTTTTCATCCTAGATTCCTAAGTCATCGGGCTTTAGTAGGGCTTGTCTCGCGTGCCATGTAAGAAGATGTAAGAAGAGTGAGAACTCTGCAGACAGTCCTCACAAAGAATCAAAGCCTTGGATACCGTGGTCAGGAGAAGAAGGCAATCCTGGCCATTCTGAGTCGATAGCCCGCCACGTGAGGAGGCTCAGAGCGAAGCAACGTTGTTTAGGTTCCAGGGTCCCTGGGTTCCTTGGTTTTAATGGGTGAAAAGTCTTTCGCGCTACGCTTTGAGCCAGGCCTGCCCTCCGGGCGGCTCGCCGAACCTATTCACCTATTGTAGCATTGTCCGTGTACAAAAGCCTGCGTGGGGTCGCAGCCACAGCTGACGAGGGTAGCGCTGTTTGTTTAGTCTCGGGATCTTCTGGTCAAGGGTTCTCATGAGGGTTCTTCCAAGCAGCCCTCCTGGTTTTGTGTGGAGTTCTGGCAAACCCGACTTTGTGCGCGACGGCTCTCATATCCCCCAGCCTTCTCAGACCATGCAAGTCGCGCTTCGAGGGTCTTTGGGTTTTCTGAACATGGTGTTGACATTCATCGTTTGACTGGCGTCCGCAGTCAAAGCAAGCATTGGCCGTGGCTTCACCTACTAGTAGTTACTAGACGCAGTCTTTGAACTGCCGCCGTGCTGGCGTATGTGCAGAAGTCCTCGGCGACGGTTGGGAAGTTTAGCCTCCAGGCTTTTCTCAGCGATGCGTTTGACCAGAGACTTCCTAGCCTAAGCCTTCGTGGGTTGCAAACCCGTTGTCTCAGAAGTGGCTTTAGCCTGGTGACACTCGCACCTTGCAAAATACGCTCCGCAGTGCACTCAACGCTCTCTTTTTTTCAAGTCATGCTGTTGTGAAGCAGGCTCTGCCTTGTGCAAGACGACGGTTTTTGCTTGAAGCTAGAAATCCTGCCAGTGCAGCTCGAGATGTGTGTCACTAGCACAGCTGAAGATGACTACTTGCAACCCCCGCCTAAATTCCAGAAAGATCAGAAGAATTACCTTTACCTGTTAAGATCAGCGCAAACCAAGGTTGTGGAGAGCAAAAGGGTGTGCAAGGTCATTGCAGCTGATGCTGGCATGAGGTCCAATCAAAGTTCATGTCCGTGCCTCCACGTCCCACTAGCTCCCTCCACCCTCCCCACGAACTGACGTAACGCTTACAGTTGTTTGGGGGATAGCGTGGGCAGAGAGGGCAGAGTGCCAGTCGGGTAAAAATTCAAGCCAGCTGTCTTGCAGTCCCTTGCAGGCCTGTGAGAAGTGCAGAGGAGCTCGGTGTGGCTCGCTGCCAAGCTGACTTGTAGGAGCGCCTGAGCGCCACAAGTGGCGGCGCACAGGTTCGAGTGAAGAAGAGGGCAGCCACTTCTTCTGCCAGCCACCTGTTTGCGGCTCCGGGGCACTGTGCGAAAAGTCTCTAGCGATGCACGCGCAAGTGCAAGCCCTAAGCCGAAATAGAAGATGAAGCCCAACAAGGCCCTTTGGATGCAGGGTGCTGGTTGCGACCCTGGGCCTTGAAAGGAGATGGGTGGCAAACCCTCAAGCACTAAAGCCAAATCTGAAGGAGATGTTGTGTGCCAGGCCCTTAGCCCTAGTTGGGTGGAAAGCCCTAAACCCCAAATAGGCAGCAAGGTGATGCGACAGGTGTGGGGCAGCTCAACGTCAGTGGCACGTGAAAGGCTGTTTTGCCTTCACTAGCTGCTAACTTCTTCCAACAGCGCTAACACTAGTTAATTGCAACTTGGCGCTTGCTAGAAGTCGGTCGAAAGCGGTAACTGTAGTTTTGGGGAATTACGCGTTTGCCACCTAGCATCTGCCTTAGGGTCTAAGATCTGCTCAGCTTCTTGCGCCGGTGTCTGCCAGTGCTTCTTGCGCAAAGTCTGGGACATGTGTTTGGGTTGCGGCATGACTCACGAATCGACTCACGAAGCCGTAAGCGTAGACGGACAGGTCTAAAACCTATGGTGGGCGATGCCAGACATGGACGTCGGCGCAGGTTCTGGACAAAGAAACGTGCCCGGACCACCGCCGTGGAGCGCCACCACGGACCACCGCCGCAGACCGCCGCCGCGGACCGCCGCCACGGACCACCGCCGCGGACCACCGCCACGGACCACCGCCAACAAGATAGAGTGTTCGACAGGAAGCCATTTGTCGAAAACAAACCTGTAAAGCATATCCCCGGATCGTTTGTCAATCCGTTGTGGGTTCCTGGAAATTTGCAGGATTTGATTTCTCGTGAGTCGGGGATGCTTTTGTTTTTCTCGTTTTTGCTTTTGCGCGGACTTCTTTGAAGGGCGAAGGCTGGGCGGGTCCCAATAGTTCTGGTGAAACTCCCCTGCGTGGGAGAATGTCAACGCTGTTTTTCGAACTTTCGCCAGCGCGTCCGCGCCAAAGACAACTTTCATTTTTTGGTTGAGGGTTTGTTTGGCCCGTCGTTGTAGTTTTTTTGCTTTTTGTCGCAGTTGAACACATCCTCCAGTTGTTTGCGCCATTAACGTGCCCCCCGCAAGACCAGAGATTTGTCTAAGTTGTTCGTGTGCGGTGAGTCGGCTTTGGTGGAAGCAAAGGCTGCCAGGGTTCGTAAGCAAGAATACGGTACTACGTGACTTGGGAGGTGTGACCTCGCGTATGCGTGCTACCAAAATTTGTTGCAGTTGCCTGCAAGCCCAACACGGCTTCGTGGGCGCAAGTTGTGATGACAGTGATCGCCTTGCCGTTTTGTCAAGCTTTGAGTCCTTAGGGGACACGGTAGTTGGTGAATGAAAGGAGCAATGGCAGGCCGGCTGAGCTTCGCTTTGTGCATGGTGTCATTCCGCCCATCTGGTACCAATTGGCTATTCACCGCTTCTCGATATACTTGTCATGGTGACTGCTCAGTCTGTGAAAGGCACGCGCTGTGTGGTTTTGGACGTGCGCAGCTGTGGGGAAGGCGGATGGATTTTGCATCTTGAAATTTGATGTGTATGTAAGGCAGGACCAGCGATGCTTTGCATTGTTCATGTTGTTTTCTCAGCGCGAACCGGAGCTGCAGTCTTGAAGCCATTGTGGATAGCGCGGGGAGCCAAATCGTAAATACATGCAAGCTGATGTTTTGTGGCAGGCAATGACCGTCAGTTGCTCCTGCTGTGGTTACGGGCAACCCGAGAGGCAAGCACTGTGAGATCTAGGACTGTAGGCTTATGTGTTGTGGCAAACCCATAAGTGACGTGCCGTCAGCCCAACGACGTATCCGAGGTTGAAGATGCGAACTTCAGTCCCTGTGACCCATGAGAGTTGCCAGGCCATCCCGTATGAGGTGGAGCGAGCACCCTTGCCACAGCCTTGGGAGATGCAAGCTGCATGTATGGCTTGAACTTGTTGAAAAACAATCTGCGCAAGATAGGGGGTGATAGGATAATATTGCAGGGTGGGTGTTCTTTTTGTTCCTTCGTTGCCGCCAACCTGAGAGTGCTCCGCGAACAAGTCTTAACAGCCGACGTCCGAAGCCCAAACCCAAGCTCCATTTTGAAGTCTTGAGCCCCAAACCCTTTTTGCCCAGAGCTTTGTAACATCCGAGGTCCGTGGTGTCTGTGCACGATGGCTTCTACGCGCGGCCCCTGGCCATTTTTCCCGGGGATTTTGGGCATGCAGGGCGGAAGTGCAACTCTGAGCCCTAGTTTCTCAGCCACCTTTCAGCCGTCCTTGATGCTTTAGGCGTCAAGCTGCAGTTCCTAGATGTCCGTAGGCAATCCGAGAACAGCAGCAGAGGTCAAGCATGCAGAGGTTGTCAATTTTCATCCTGCAACTCTGTCCAGGGACATGGGAACGCATCAACATGGGGAGCCAGTTTTCTGTACCCATAGGGCCGCGTGGATTCCCAAGCAGCGGAAGCACACATGGCAGAAGCCGAATCACAACGTAAGGCATTCCAAGAAATCAGGTGTCGCGACTGCCCCTCGCCACCCACAGTGACAAGGAGATCCTCCGCACTTTGGACGACTTGGAGCAGGATCTTGGCAAGCTCCATGTTCTGAGGTTTGAAAACGTCCCCACTGAATCCTGAGGCCCTCAGCCGAACCTCAGGGTGCCAAGAGCCGCCCTATAAAAACCCTCCATTCAGCCCTCCTTTCAGCCCCTCCTTTCAGCCCCTCCTTTTTAAGCTGCTCTCCAGGAGTTCCTGCACATGCCGCTGGGGCTCGCCATGGACCAAGGCTGGGGAATGTGTATGGGGCTTCGAGGCGTTTTGCAGGGGGCTGAACAGCTTTAGGAAGAGCTTTAGGCGTAGCGTCTTTGGGTTGAGGACAAAAGCTTAGAAACTTCTCTCCTTCTTGAGGTCAATGAGCTGAAAGAGAGGGTTCTTGAAGGTGGGGCAGCGTGAGGAGTGCGATTTTATTCCTTTTTGTGGGCCTTGCCTGGCTTCCTGGCTTCTAGCCTGTCCCTCAGCCCAAGAATGACAAACATCATGGCAATATGCTTTTGAGGAATGCTCTAGCACCCTTCTAGCTTCCAGTCAAAGGCCCCAAGTGAACTCCCTGCAAGTAGAAACCCTCAATCGGCAACTCCTGAACTCGAAAAGCCCTAAACCCTAGACCTCAACCCCAACTGCCCAAACCTCAAAGCCCTCAACCTACAACTTCCCCCATAAACCCCAGAAAGAGCCCCCGAGCCCTGGAGCTCGGAGGTGGTTTGGTATCCGAGTTTGCGGCGGCCGTTCCAAAGGGCCTTCCTAGGCGCGGTTGGTTTCGGTTTGGGGCTGGGCTTGTAGGGTTTGAGGGGCTATAAACTATAAAGGGTTTCGGGCTTCAGGGTTGTGAGCCGGGAGTTCCTCAGCCAACAGACAGTTGCGGCTGCCCGAACTTCCTTTTTTCGCAGAGCTCGGGGCCCTCTAAACCCTCTGTCCTTCAAACCTCTATCTCCGCGATTCTGCGTGCCCTGGAGGCTGGGAGCTGCAGCCAAGAAGCGTAGCAAGAAGGCCTGGAGCCCGTTCTCGCCCCGTGAACCCTGAGCTATCATTCTTTAGCCGCCCCCAGAAGCTTAGTACCTCTTGATTCAGGGCATTCTTTAGGCAAGATTGGTCTGCTGCCCTTGGATGATGGGCGCCGCAACGCGTGCAGCACCAGGGTGTGCAAATGCCAAGCCCGTCAACCCTGAAGCAGCGGCTTGAAGCTTTCCAAATGTTTAGCCTTGTGCTTGCGCGTGGCATTGGTGTGTCTGAGCCGCTGTTCATGATCCATGGGCCTTGTTTGTTTAGGTCCAGACTCTGCTTCCCAAATCTGCTGTTGCTGGTGCGAGCAGGGTGACCAAAGCGACCGCCTCTTTGCGATCGGCGAGGAGTCCCGCCCCGTGATCACTTTCACTTTCACGCTCTCTTGTTCTCTCGGTTTGCTGGTTTGGGAGTTCACTTTGACTCAAGTTTGCAACAGAAAAACAAGCTGCTGGGGGGGTTCCCTCCTCTGCCAACGCATCTTTACACCCGAAGACGTAACGAGGCGCATGGTTCCTGAGCTGTGGTTTCTGAGTAACTCGGGCTCGATTCTTGACCTCATGCCCAGAAACCCCGTGAAGTTCCGAGTTTAGGGTGCCCAAACTCTTGTGGCCCGCACACCCTCACAGCCCCTAAATGCCAAAATGCCAAAAGCCCTTCAACCGATAGGTTCTGGCTCCCGCCAAACCAGACGCGCAGGACGCCGGCCTGGCCGCGCTGCGCTCCTCACTTGCTGTCCTGGCAGATGTGGAGGCCTGGGGCCACCGACGGTGCAGGTAGGGCTTAGGCTGTTGGACTTCAAGAGTTTATTTCTCTCTGTGGAATCTCCCACACCCTGGCCGAAAGGCTGCTGTGCAGGGCCTCGATTATCTTTCATTTCTCTTCCCTCGGGCAGGCAGAGGCCTTTGCAGATAGGACTGCAGACCACCACGGTGACCTCACCTCCCTGTGGTTGGGGCGCCATTCGTGTACTCGATTTCCGGGCGCTATGTGCTTAATCCCGAAGCCCTGGATTCCAAACATTCGACACCTTACAATTGCATCGACCGAACCTAAACAAGGAGGAGGCGCTGGAGAATTCGTTTTGCTTCTTGGGGGTTAGGTTTTTCAACATTCAGGGGTCAGGGAGCACCGACACCTTGCAACCTCAAACCTGCATATAAATCTGCGGTTTATGACACGAATCTGCGGGAACTAGGGTCTTGTTTGTCGAGGCCACGGCGAAGACAGCTACTCTCCAGTTCTGGACTGCAGATGCAGCAAGGCGGGCTGACGCCTCAATAAGTTGAACTGGATTGTTACTCTCAATTCCAGTGATAGTCGTTTATGGACAATTTTGTGGTATGATTAGTGTTTCCCACTACACGACCCGCGCTTCGGCCTGGCCCAATGCAGCTCCCGGGGAGGGGGCCGACGTTGCGGGGGGGGGAGGTGGGGCGGCACCGTCTGCTGCTCGCCAACAAAACCCATGCCAGGGCAACGGCTGCCAGATAAAGGACTCAAGCTGGTTGGGAGGTGAGGAAACCCGAAACCCTTGACTTATGCCCACCCCCGCGTCGGCTAAGTGGTGCTGCAAGCTGCGTGGGGGGGGGGGGGGGGGGGGGCGGGGTGGGTACGCAGTGGGGGGCGGGGGCTGCGCCTCTTCGCAAGGTTGTCTCACACCGTGCCTGCAGGATGCATGAAGTAGAGGGGTGATTTTGGGTGCCTGTGCTCTTTGTGGCACCTCCTCTGCCAGGCCCGCAGTCGCCATTTCAGAAACGCCTTCAATCGGGACGCGAGTCGCTGCAAAGCTTGAGAGTCGTTTTAATGATCGAAGACAGCAGGGCTCAGCAGGGGTAACTGCAACGACAAGCGAGCTGCAAAAGACAACGTTCATGAGTTGCACCTTCTGGTTGGTGGCGATGGTCCTGTGCAAAGAGTCAGCCGACGCAGCATTTTTGCCACATGTCCGTTTAATGTGGTGACTGTGTGATTTCGGACTGGACTGCAGACATGTGGTGGATGCTTACAAACCAATCAGATGAAGAAGGGGGCGGCGGGCGGGCCTGCGCCGTCCGCTGCAAACCTCAAACAACCATGGCCTCGCATCGGCGAAGCGGTTGGCGTGGGGGGGGGAGGTGGGGTAGGTGGGTGGGGGGATGTGGGTAGGTGGGGGGTGGGGGTGGGGGTTGTGGGCCTGGGGGTGGGCGGGGGGGTAGCGTGACCTTCCTCGCTGCTAGCGCAAGCCCTCCAAAACCAGCCAACCCCGACTGCGCCGAAACGCCGGCTGAATAAAAAAGAGAGTCGCGAGGCAGCACCACACAACAAGGTACCAAAGAACATAGATTGTATGAAGACGGCGGCAGCAGAAGAACGGGTTAGCATCGTTCCAGGTTGCTCCCGGTGGCATCGGACGTGCGACGCTGCATCCCCAGCAACGTTTGCTTCGAGGCGGAAAGGGGGTTCGGATTCGGGCTTTCCGAACGAGCTTTCTGCGTGGCCACGTGTGGTGTTTCTGGTGATCTTGACTGGCAGTATTCACGTTGCTGCTGGGAGTGCAGGTCCTACCCCCCAACCCGCTGAAACCATCCAGTTCTGTCGAGACTGGGAGGTTGTGGTTGCTGCTGGTCATTGGGATGAGCAACAGACAGCCAAGGCGCGAGACCTCTTGAAACCCTGAAAGGCCAGCATTCAAAAGGCTCTCTATAGTTATGCGGCGCAGGCCGACGCGGCATGGCGTGTGCAGTTCTTGGGGTGCTTCGAAAACACCCACACTGCCATGCCCAAAATCGAGCAGCTTCAGTGAAACCTCGAATGGGGGTTTGGTTTCCAAATCGGGGTACTGGGTACTTTCTTTGGCAGTTTATCTTTGTTCTGCCCCGCCCCGTTCAGTTGTTATGAGTCGATGTGCCTCCATAAGGAACCCGACATGCCAGCCCTAAACGCTCTGAAAGCAAAACGCCTTAAAGCCAAAAGCGCGCCCCAACAGCGCTATCCCAACCCCGAAAAGGCTGACAGACTCCAAACCCTTGCGGCAACCCCTCCAAACACAGGTCGACCTCTTGGAGCATGAGCTCTCCTCCAAGCAGGCGAGCCGTGTGGGCTTCAGTTTTCAGAGGGGCGATGAGGCCTTCGCCTTTCACAGTTGTGTCAGACTGCTTTGCATTGCCTTGCCAGCTGCACTTCAGGGCCTTGGCCAGTGCCTTGGGAGTTCACTTCGGCTGCAGGGTAAAGGTCTAGAAGCCCAAGTTTCCTGGAATCATTCCTTGCAAGGCTGTCGACCTCGCCGTCCACCGCTTGCTTCTGACGGAGGCGGCGATCGCCGCCAAGGCCAGCAATCCGGTCGATTCTGGCTGGAAATTGACTTCTTTCTAAATCCTTTGTGTGTCGGGTTTTGGGGGTGTGCAAAAATTCGGGGTTGCTTGGGTTTAGTTGGGTTTGCTTGGGCCCAAAGGGTTCTGGGAGATGGTCTTTCTGAATCTTTTGTGACAAATGCAGCAGAACAGAGAGCTCTTCTCTTAGCATTTGAGTTGCAGGATTCCGGCTGGAGCGACATGGTGCTGTTAGCTTGAGCGTTTAGGGATCATTTCCGTTGTGAGGCCCCTCTTGGCCTTTGGCCGACAAACTGAAGCGGTTCGTGGGCGTACTCCATGCTCCGTTCTCCCTTGCGCTCTGAGGCTCAACTCTGCGCGCAAACCTGTGCAAATCCCAACAGCTGGAACCGGTGCCTCCACTTCTTGCTGCAGGTGCGGAATGCCTTGAGGCAGCCCAGACGGGGAGGGAGCTCTAGGGAAAGGACAAGTGTTTGCAGAGATGCGATTTCAAAGGTTTTAAAGCCTGATGGCTTTTCGACAGGCTCTGTAGGCTTGTTGTAAGGAGCAGGGTTTGGACAAGCTTGTCATGTCCTCTTCGGAGTCGGGGCCAGAGGCTCAACCCCCAAAAGCCAAAAGCAAAGAGGCTCTGACAGCAATCCGCACGGGAGAGGCATCCCTTCAGCCCTTTAACGCCCCTTCCCGCTTCACCCCCCTTCACCCCCCTTCACCCCCCTTCACCCCTCTTCACCCCTCTTCACCCCTCTTCACCCCTCTTCACCCCCCTTCCCCCCCTCGCCCTCCCCAGGCGCGCGCTCCCATTGCAGCTGGGCCTGGGCGGCGGCCTCTCAGCGCCGGGGAGCCTAAGAGTTTTTGTGAGACCGCAAGGTCCGTGAGAAAGGTCCACCATAAATGATTATCACTAATCATAGCTGCCGGATCAGCTTCGGCTGATTCTCGGTGTGGCGATCTAGGGCTTTCGCTGGCTGTGGGCTTGAGCTGTTCATAGACGTAGAAAGGGTAGCCCGTCAGTGAGTGGCTCATTCGGTTCAGGAGTTGTTAAAAGCGTCGGGGATGCCTGAGCGTAGCCATGAGTTCGAACCCAGCCCCACCTTTTTGGGTGTCAGATCTTGGGGTTGGGTTGCATGGTTTGGGGGGGCCTTGTGGAGTCCTGGATAATAGTCCCGGAGCCCCTTCTCCCCAAAGCCAAGCCCGAGGCTTGCTTGGCCTACGATCCTGTTGCCGCCGCATTGGCAGCCCCAAGGCCTGCGCAGTATGAAGCTGCTTCAAATGCCACTTCCATTGGCATGTCCGCCGCCCCCCAAGCCCAACACTCCCCAACACTCCCCAAACCCTACACTAACCTCCTCCCGACAAACAAGAGCTCGGAGGGTGCTAGGGGCCAGCCTGGGAGTCCCGAGTAGCTGCTTTTGCACCATGGCGAACGGCTGTTTTGTTTGTGCAATTTCTGAGCTTCCTTTCAATTCTGTTCTTGGCTCGGCTTCAGTTTCGGCTTCTGTTTCCTGGGTTCGTTCTAACTTTTTTTGCTTTGTTGCAACTTGTGCCTCTCAGGGCCTCAAGCCTCAACCCTCCTCCCCCCCCTCCCCTCCTCGTACGGGCATGGTGTCCCCGTATCCCCCCCGATTGCAGGGAGGCAGCGAACGCTAAAAAGAGATGGTGGGTTGGCGGGTTGGCAGAAACAGAAGACTTCCGGAGACCTTAAGTCTGAACAAACCCCAACATCTGAATAGCCTTGAAAGGAGACCCACGTAAACGGAACTGCTCAAAAAGGCGGGGAACGTGGCAAACCCAAAGCTCAATCTGGCCGTGTTCTTTGTGGTTTAGGGTTCAGGGATTAGGGTGTAGGGTCTAGGAGGCTCTAAACCAAAAAGTTGCAGGTTAGAAGTCAGGAAGGAAGGATGGAAGGAAGGAGGGCGGCTACAGATCGTGCCCCGCCTGACCTCCCGCGAATGTTGTTAGAACACGCGGTTGCTTCTGACATCAATGTGCATTTTCTTCTACGAGTTGGTTCCTCTCCCCGTAACCCCTGGAACTCTGCACAAAGCCCGAGCCAACATGATCGCTCGCGTCTTGTAAGCTGGAAAGTGGGTTGTGAAAGGCATTCTGAAAGGGGCTTCAAAGCTAGGAGGGGGTCGTTAGCTAAGAGGCCAATGCTGTAATGCTGTAATGCTGTGTTCCTCCGCTGAACCTCCCAGCAGCTCGAGCACCATTCCAAGAACAAATCGCCAACCCTAATTTGGTTCGGCATGCGCACTCTTCGGCCTACCAGCTTTGCGTAAGTCCGGCCCCCGAACTTTGTTTTCTCAGCGCGGTCGGCCCCCTGCCACAAGGCGGCTCAACACATTTCGAGATTCTGGCAGAGGCGGACTCCCTTCGTGCATCAGTTTAGTGAAGTTTAGTGTGTTGGCTCAGGATACTGAAAGACCTGAACCTTAATTATGCCAAAGTCCCTGCGCTGCCAATACACGCTTCCGAAACAAATCCCAAAACCATAGACCCCAGTACTGCTTGGATCGTCCATGTGCGCCTTTAATTGCTGTGGGCTTTCCCAAGCAAGAACTTGAAGTCCAATCCAGAAGAAGATCGCCTCACAGCGAGTTGAGGCCCTGCTGAAGGCCCTGCGTAAGGCCCTAGCATCATTGAAATCCCAACCCCTCTTTCAGGCCTAGAGTCACCAGCAATCTGAAGGGTTTTAGGGCATGGCAGGTGCCGATCAGCAAAATCGGGTCGGAGCTGATGGCCGGAGTGCCGCTGCTTCTCGAGGCTGAAGATGTGGGTTGCTGGGCAGGATTCGTCGGGGGAGGTTTCAAACAGGTCTCAAGGTTGTGGGCTGCTGCTTTGGGGGATTGGGAATTGGGGGGGTTTAATTTGTGTGTTTTTTTGATTTGTGAGGGTTAGGGATGTCGGGGCTTTGGCTGCTGTGGTTTAGGGCATCCCACGCACCCCTTCATGAAAGGAGTCCTTTTGGCCGCAACGATTGTATGCAGAGTCGCCCTTAATCAGCCACCATCATGGCGGCGAGAGCAGGCGGAAAGAGAGATCCGAACGTAAGGTTGGAAGATGTTGAGAGCTGAGACTTTCTGAGTGCCCACCCGACTAGAGCCCTTCGACTCAAAGCACCCCCTTGAGCCCCACATCCAACTTCGCCAACTTCGTCCCAACTTCGCCCACTTCGCCCACTTCGCCACACGGCGGAGGCGGGGGATAGCCAAGATGGAGAAGCCCTCAAGGCGCCCAGGGGCTCTGGCGTCCAGCTATGGCTGACGTTGAGCTCTGCCTGTGTCTTCTCAGAGGGCACTGTCGGCGATCAGGGCTGCTGTCTTTCTTAAGGGCTGTGTGACTGCAGGTCGAGCCCAAACTAAAACCCTGAGGCCTATAAGCTTTGCTAAGCCGGAAGTCCCTACAGTAGGACGAGTTCTGAGCTTGGCAGGGATCTGAGCATCCTAAGGATTTCAGACACCAGCTAAGACCCCTGGAAACTCCGAGCTCCCTAGCGAGAGCCCCAAAACATCCTCCCCACAATGATCCCAAGCGCCCTCCCAAAGTCCTCCGCTGCCTTTCGGGGCTCTCGAGCCGTTCGCCCCCACGCGGCCTCCGTTCGTGCCCTCCCTGGTGCGGACGACGCCTGGCTTGGCTGAGGCTTCGAGAGAGGGGGGGGGGGCCGTTCTAGGGCCAAAGCCCTCAAAACCACAAAAGAATAGACGGGACTTCCCCCACCAGGAAGCTCGAAGGCCCCAAAAACCCGAAACCCCCTACCCGGTTTGCACGTAGGGTTGGAAGTAGCCTAGAGAAGGTCATGCTGTTAGAACGATTGTTGCCCTACTTACAGCCCTGCTACAAGACTATACGATTGGGCCAAAACTTCCTCGCCCGTTTGCTGGCTCCTTTTCTTCTTCTTCCTTCTTCTTTCTGCCCCCTTCGGAGTCCCCGTCCAACACGCCCTTGGAGCATGCAGAGCCAGCTCAGGATGGCGACGTGCGACATCGCGTTGGAGCGCGCCTGGGTTGCAGGTGTGGGGCGATCTGAGGCTTGGGGATCTGTGTTGGATCCCAGCAAACCCCGGATCTCCTGTGTTGCAGCCTCGTACATACATTAACTCATAGAGCCCTTCGCGCCTTCGGGGTTTAGGGTGTTTTTTCGTAGTCCCAGAGCAGGGGGTTGTACAAGGGAGGGGCCATTGATCTCTCAGGAGTGCACGCACTGCTTAAGATCGATGCGGGCAATGGATCCCTCTACAACCACATAGCGTCTCTGATGCAGTGGCGGGCAAGAGCGGAGTTTGGGAAATCATTTGTAAGACCTTGTGGAAAGGCTTAGCAGAACCTTCAGATCGCGTGCTGAAAGTAATCCAGCCTTGCTTTTTTCAGGGTGATTATTGCCGAATTCCATAGAGGTGCCAAGACCGCCAAGACACTTAAACGCTTTGCCTCTGCAACCTGAAAGCAGTTCAGCCACAGCTGGCTCTCACGGCTGGCTTCGGCCTCGCAACAGGCACACTTTTGCTGAAGGAGCTTGGGAGGGCTCCATCGACCCGGATCGCATCCTGGCTTCGGCGGGCATGTGGCCGATGCCTGGGCATCCCGAGAGCGGCGACGACCTTCCCAGAAGAACCATGTGAATTCGTCACACGCCGCCAGTCGATACGCGGGATGCACGTTCCTTGCGTCTCGTGAGCGACTCCAGCCAGCCACGACCGTTTGCCAGGAATGTGCGAGAGGGCAGGCCGAGTTGCAAGCTCCTAGACTCTTAAACCTAGTCTGCAGGGTTGGACGCTTGGGGCTTTCTCCCCTCTCATCGCCTTCAGGTCAAGCTGGCGCGCACCTTGGCGCAGGAAAAGCCTGCGGATGCCCTGGCACAGGTGCCAGTGTTTGCTACCGAGTTCTTTGGTTCTGGGCTCGGCATGATGGGGTGTTCGGGTTTAGGGGGCTGCTCGGGGGCAGGTTCAACGACTCTGGCGTGGTCCCAGATTTGGGGTTGATGGCTTTAGGGTTTTAAACCTTCGTTTTAGCTATTTGAGGTCTGTTCCTTGCTTTGAAGAGCACCCCGAGAAGAGAACTGCGGCTGGCCTTGATAGGATCGGACCGTTCGGATGCCCCCTTCATGAGGCTAAGCCTTCAGCGGCTCAGCAGCTTAAAGCTGATGTTGAACGTAAGACGATGCTCGGCCAGCATCGCCCAGAGGAATACTTCAAGACTTCGGGCAAGAGCGATCACTCTTCGTGAGCTGGGCGTGGGGTTCAGGGACAACTACAACTCCTCAAGGTGACAGACGCGATCCATCAAGTGTCACCTGACAGACAAAGTCGAAGATGATCGAACCACCGCGCTTCTAGAGGAGCTGCTACTGGAGTGGAGCTCAGGCTTGAACACAGACCCTAGCCAAATGCCCAACGACGAGATCACCCCCGACAACAGCCGAACGAAAACACCAAACTGAAGCGCAGACTTCCAGCTCCGAACCCACCCTCAAGCCAGCCGCTGCAACCTTAACCCCGAACCCTAAGCCTGAAGCTCCAAGCCCTCAAGGCCCCGGAACTCCAGGCCCACGGCAGATCTCTAAGAAAACCCAACCTTGAGAAGTCACAGGGGCCCCCTGATGCCTTCCGGAAGACTTGCCAGGTAGAGGCCCTGAGCCGCCGCCTCAAGGCGACCATGGGGGGGGGGAGGGGTGGGAAGGGAATCAACGCCTTGAGTTCAGGGGTCGTAGTAGGATTGATGTTGATCCTTGAAGTGATATCCGCTTCTGTTCCTGATTCGAAGGGCTTGTTTACCGCAATGAAGCTTGCTTGCTTGATTGTAAGTTGCAGTTCCCTCAAGGTGTCTTTGAAGACGCTGGGCTTCGGGGCTTGGGTTAGGGGTTCAGTGTTTCCGGTTGGTAGAGCCCAGGCGGTTTAGGGGTTGGAGGCGTCACTAGGACAGGAGCTTTCAGCGGAAGAATAGTTCGGCGATGTCGGCGTGAAGCTTTTCCTCGGCTCCGCGGTTTCAAGGATTCAGGAATCAGCTAGGGGCTGGATGGTCAAAGCACATCTTCAATGTTCAGAAATTCAGAAACGTTGAGGATCCTGACATTAGTGCCCTTTGGGGCCCCATGTTCTTGAATGCCTTCCAGGAAGCCAGCTTCCGGGCGGCAGAGGCGCCCGAGGCCTTGGCATGCTGTCATGTCGGATGCAGGGCTTCTTGAGACAGATGTCGGCGAGTTTCAACATCCACAGACAGACCGAAACCGTGCAAGGGCGTTTTCGCCTGAGGGCACCCTTCCATGCTTGTCCTAACGAGTTGTCTACTCCTGGGCTTCTGGCTTCTGGAGGATCTCTGCCATCGTTGGTTGCTTCTGGATTTCGTGTCGGTAGCTCCGGATGTGCCATGGACCTCCTCGTAGGCCCTACACACCCCAGCTCGGTCGGTTGTGCTCCTCGACGTGGAGTGCAAAGCTGTTCAGGGCTTTGAGACAGTGGGGCATGTGATTGGGAATTGGCGTTCTCCCTGCGCCAAAGAAGCCCTCGAAACCTGCCCCAGTCTCCAAGCCCGGAAGCCTTCCGTGACAGGCGCCGGAACCCAGTCTGGCCGAAGTTGCCGCGGAGGAGGTGGCGGAGGGCACGGAATGGGGTTACAAGCTCTAAACTTTTACTTGCTGCTGCATATGCAGTTTGTTGTTTTTCCCGGGGCTTTCATTGGCGTTTGATCTCAACCCTCGTAGGGGAGGCCTTGGTGCGAAGCACGTTCTGAAGTGCTCGTGTGTATGTTTTCGAGGAGACATTCGGAGACATTCGGCTCAGGGGAGGGCTCATGTGCATCCCACGAGGACCGGAAGAAATGCGCACAGGGCTACCTGGAGCTGGTCAGGCACCGGGCACTTTGCCGGTACTTTCGTTTTGTGGTCCCAAAAGCCTCACATCTTCGATTGCTTCTTCGGCGGCCACCTCTGCATCTTGTTGTGTGTGCGAATGGTGTTGATGCTTGGGATGGCTCTCCCCTACGGCCCGAAGCCCAACGCGCTCATGTGATCTCATGTTGATGGTCTGTAGCTTTCCACATGTGGGGGATCCAATGCCAACGTGAAGGTTCTTCCGAGGTTCTTCCGCCCGGTGGTGGGGGCTGTCGGTTTCCGGACTTCTTGTTTTGTTCTGTTGATAGGCCCGAAGCATAAACTCTTCCTTCCTGCAGATCTCCGAGCGACCTCACGGCAGCGCCGAAGACCCTAGGCTTCGTGCAGAACTTCCTCGAGGAGGGTTGCACATCGGGCTCCAAATCTAGGATTCGGGCTTGAGGGTTAAGCACCACAACCCCCGCAAGACTCGAGCCTGAAAGGCCTTGGCCTCAGCTCTAAAACATGCCAGGCCCCGCACTACGAGAAGCCCATCTCTCGACGAACTAGGATCTACATCATGGGTGCAACCCTAACCGCCCAGAGCAAACTCAAGCACCCTGCTAGACTCTAAGCAGCCCCACATCCTGCGTAAAGCAGTGCAACACAGCACAGCTGAAGCGTGCCCTTGGACAGCTTTTGCTCCAGACCACTTAAGACAAGGCCTCAAGGTTTAGCACCAGCGCCAGGATGCTGCCATGTTCGAGTGGGCTGGCGTTGGCTTTGGAAAGCAAGAGCCGACGTCCCAGAAACAAATCCGACTGCGAAGGGGGAAGGGAGTTGAGGGATTTATGGGTTTGGGGGCTCAACGTTCACTGGTTGGGCGGGTTGCTCTCTTTCTTTTTTTGCTTCTGAGCCCCTCGGGAGAGTTGCAGTTGGAGCTGAAATGAGGCTGCGTGGCTTTCGGGGTGCAGCTGTCGAAATCAAGGAAGACATCCCAGACCTATCCGAACCGTCCTACAGTTGCCAAAGTCCCGACACCTTTCTAAGCCCATCTCAACTTGAAGTTCCCATAAACCCTGAAGCCCCAAAGTTAACACCTTGCCACGGTGCAGCATACACTGTAACTCCATCGATGTCGTATGCGAATTCTTCAGACAAGTCTAAGTTCGTATACATCCGTCTTCTCCTGAATGGCAGATTGGGGAAGAGCGGTCTTCAGGTCCTATCACCTGGCCATGTCTCTGCGAGCCCTGGCAGCCAACACCCCGGGCCTCGACTCCTTGCGGCTCTGGGGCAAGGCCCCGGCAAGATCGGTTTCGTCTTTTCTTTGGGGCAGGGTTCGGGGTTTTTTTGGACGCTTATTAAGGAGTTAAGGGTTGGGGCTTGAGAAAGAGAACAGATGGCTGACTGATTGGTTGCTGCT